TTCCTTGGCAAAACAATTTGATGACAAAAAACTAGTAGGTACCACATACAAATATATGATTGATAACTAATTTATAATTTACCATAGTCATTTTGACTTCTCATTTAACTGTTATTTGCAGGCTTCCTGGTATAAATACCTTCCACTTACATTATTAGTTTTCAGGAACTGCAATGCATGTCCAACATTAGCAAGGTGATGAAGCCTCTTGTGACCTCGTTCTTTTAGCTACAAACAAAAAGTCAATCAATCACAGAATTTAAAAACAATTATAAGTACCAATTTAATAAACACTACAGATTTTTAGGATTTAATTAATGAATGCATAGATTTAATCCTAAAAAATAACATCAACACATAGTGAGCTTACCAATCTCCCTCCAGATAATACTTCTAATAATGCAATAAGCCGTGTGCCATCTTTCAAGTCCTCCAGGATGTCATCTACTTTCATGGGAGTCTTGTACTAGAAAATCACAAGGCATTAAATTACACAAGRAAGGTTCAGCTGAAAATCATACATGATCACAAGAAATTGTAKCACAGTTTAATCACATGACAACTCAMYCAAAATGACCTTGACTCCTCTCTGGGCCTACAGGTAGATGCGCATTACCTTGTATCTACCTCTATCATGGCCACTTGAATAAAACTGACAGAAATTCCTGAGAGAACTCATAATCAACATTATCCAATTAGACAAAACTGTACTACATTCCCACCGCTCATTGTCCTATCAAKTTGTACTATAAGTTTTGATAATCTCATTACGATTAGATTGGATAAAGAGGCATATTYTGAAAATAGCTGTGGCTGTAACAATTGACTGACATGTAGTCTTAAGTCAACCTTATGCCCAGGAGACTTCTATTGTTACAGATCCCTTACATTGATTAAATAGTGTCAAGTGTGTAAACATTGCTATTTGTGGTATAATGAAGATAACAGATTTATTACCGCCCTCATGGTATAAATCTTTTAGTGACCATGTAATTATTAAAAGTATTATTACCTTTTTCAAAAAGAAGTTCATCCATCTTGTAAAAGTCCTCTTTTGAATTTCTACTTGCTCATCTAAAAGTTACAGAAAATTATGGTGACAAAAAACAGGGTCAAACATAACTTTGATGAATCTTTTGATYATTTGTTTTTTATTTGTGAAACCAATTCAATGTAGCATTGAATTTAGCTTTCAAAAGTCAAAGAAACCAATTAAAATAGTCAATATTTCTAAGTTGAATAAGTCTTTTGGGGGGATTTCTAAGAGAAACTATTACAAAAGGAATTTTTTTTCTTTAGACAAATTTATGTCCAATAAATGCAGTATTCTTTCTCAATCTGTACAAATTAATTAAAAGRCATGCAGATGATGTGCTGAAAGCACATGGCAGATTTCACCACAACTTTATAATTGACAATCAAATTTAAGTTATAATATTTTTTACATTATGCAAAATTTAAAAAGTTTTCTAATAGATTATTCTTATAACAGAGTATACAAAAATAGCCAACACAGTACAAAATATCTTTAAAGACGTATTTATACGTAAACTTTATACAGAATTAAGTTTATGAGTTAACTTAGCTTTTCAGAGAAACAATGCACGCATGCTACTAGCCCCAGTAGGAATATTTTAATTTTGTAAGGAGTCAAATTGTAATACGATTTTAAATTATATTTCTGGATGTAAGTTTCTATAGTATCTTATTAGTATAACAAGAAACGGAAATTATACGATGTATAAAAGTTGATCGAAAACGTAAACAAAGCAACACGTCGCTGTTTTCATGAATGCAGATGGAATTCCCAAACAATCAGAAAGACTGAGCTTTGGTATTCACTTTAACTTATGAATCTACAASATTTTGTATATCTTTGGGCATATTATCAATATAATGACGAGTATTTTAAGTTCACAGTTTTCTCACACGTGTTGGCTGCTTGATAGCATGATCTCAGTGACTTTGTGTAAACAATATCACGTTTTCATCATAAACTKACCGGATAATGCCTGAATTTGAGACAAGAGTCTCTCTGAAGATGCTGACAAAGACTCTTTTCGTACTTGCAATGACGAAACCTTTTCTTTTTTCGGCGATGGGCTTCGAGAAGGTGGTTTGGAACTTGTATTTGGCGCTCTCGAAGAGGACGCCATCTTGGTTTCCTTCGCTACCGCCAAATGCAATTCAAAATGCTATTTCGCAGTCTCCAAMTGTGCTTTTTCTTCTCTGTTGGGRACCTAACTGCCTTATAAATCATCTTTCTCTCTAATTAAAGAGATATATTAACATTCATGAGTRATTATCGACAAAAACAGCCACGGCACTGTACTCGCATTCTTGTTGCTGTGCAAATGACATCATAAGGTCTTGCACGGAGTACAAAGGTATCACATATCAATAATATTTGCGGCGATTGTTTTCTAACGGTGATTTTTATTACATCACAACGATTAAATTAAAATCAATGATATGGTCAAAMTGAATTTCGTTTAGATATTTTCAACAAATGATGGCGAAACCCTCCAACAACAAAAAAGTCCAGGAAACTATTGAAAGTATTTCATACTGGCGCCATTGTGGTGACTTTCAGGTCTTATGCGCAAAAAATAAACTCTCGCGCGGGTCAAAAGAGGTTATAAATAAATGAACCACGTATAGGACATCATAACTTACAAATAAGGCTGACAAACAAAATAAAAAAACTTGAACCGGAGTTATTTATAAAGATTTGGCATGCTCGACCTACCTGTTCCGTTTATGGACTTTATGGGGCAGGCCGCATTGTTACACACAACTCAAAGCGCCTCTGGAATTCGTTCCAATAATCCAAGGTGCAAGACTCGTGTTAGTTTTATGATAGTATTTAACGATACTGTTTTTTTCTAGCTATTTGGTGTCGAAACGCTTAACTAGAACGAATGCGATTGGTCCATTTAAAGACAAGAGAGTTACAGGAATAAACTTATTAACGCAAATTAAGCTTTACTTTACATAACAATAATTGATGTCAGTAATATAAGGAAAGGTCATTTTTGTTTGCGGATCACGGAAATAATAAACGGGGACGCTAAATCCTTTTTTCTTGTTGTATTTCAACACGCGAAACCACTTCAAGAGAACTTTTTCAGACTCGAAAGTTAGATAAACTAGGTTGATTGTTTTTCGAGCAGTTAATAATCAAAGAAAAGAAAGCATTAACAAACAATCCATTGTACAAAAAAGTGATATCGGTACAAAGAAAAACAATATTGTTCATGACACTCGCAAGCACTCGGCCCTCCACAGCTGCAAGTGAATCTTCGCCTAAGTACAGTCTTCGCGCCTAGTTGGAGTTAATGTTAAAAGTGGATCGATGAAGTAGATGAATGAGTGAATAGAGAGAGATTGGACTCCTTTGTAACGAAGACACATAAAACATATTAAATGAACTAATTGTAATCAGTTCATTTGCATTAATTACCCAAAATTATTGCGAGCAATCACTGCCAATACCGATTGCGGACTGATGAGAGGGTCTCTTCACGCGCGCAACAGGCGGAGAGCGCAAAAAGAAATTAAAGCGCGGAGGGTCTTAATAGAATAGTTATGCATTATTGAATCATGCGATGATTGAGAGTTCAACGTTGTATTTATATATGGACATAATGAAAGCGGGCCTCTTCGACGCATAGTTTTACAGAAAATGAAGCAGAACATTGAATAATTGGCTTACGCAAAGCATAAAAATAGTGAGGGCTGTCATGTGGTCTCAAATGTCCAACACTAAAAATCAAACAGCTTTTGGTGTTTACTTACCAGAAACGTGAGCTGCAATATTCAAGAGATGCATGRATAAACTTATCAAAGAAATAATTATTGAGGATGATGCGGGCGCTCAAAGTAGTGCGTAAGAGCTTTATACTATATATGTTTAGCCTAGCCAACAACTACCAATTGCATTGCAAAAGCATTTCTTGATCCTTTATATGCTTTTATTCAAAGATGCAATAATAATATGAAAATTCAGTATTATAGCAAGAAAGAAATATTCATATCTTCCGAGGGTCCGTATTGAATACTGACTTTCCAACTCGATCGTTTGGAAAAAATTGGTTATGAATGTAGTTCTAATAAAATGACTAATTATTAAGCATATTAGGATATTTGAATGAAGCCAGCAAACCGAATTTAATCGGAAATAGACCAGCATCCGCCATCTTGAATCTCACTTACTTTTCTGTAAGTATAAGCTTTCGCATGTCATAGTTTRAACAACAGGTAAAACTTTGAGGATGTTATATGATTCAATCTTATCATGCAAAAAGTGAAACGCACTTTRGTTTGGACGGAATACTTTTCAAGGATTTATCACTTGTATCAGCAGGCTTCAAGATGGTGAAAGCACCTGCAAAAAGGTTTAAAATTTCAGTATAAACAATAGACTCTTGCGTGGCAAAAATCTCCCTATTTCTTATGTTTGTAGGAAAACAAATACTGCCTATCATCAATGTCATCATATGCTATTCAAATGGACATGGTCCACCATCATTCAATGCGGTCGTGTTTGACCGCATTGAATGATGGWCATTTTTTGTAGATGGAAAATAAAAGGGTCACTTATTGAAATACCCACTGATTCGCAATCCGTTTCCATCCTTCGGTTCTAAGCTCGAATCTTACAATATCTCCCTTCATATAAAATGGAAATAAAGATTAACTTTTTCTTATTATATTACGATTTATCTTTATTTTCAAACATAAATAAAAGCTCAAAAGAGTTGCTGATGGASCAAAAAGCGATTGTAAAATATGGCACCGCGCTTATCAATATCAGCGGCGTGCAAAATAACTATAAACTCTACCTAAAAACACTACTATTATATACAAATATAAAAATCATTGTTGGAGGCGATACGACATTAGTCCATAATTCCTCTAACAAGATGGCGGGAAATCTGCCGCGGTTTCCTTTTGCGCGCGCTTAGCGGTCCAGTGATGCGAATGCACCGGAAATACGTCACAGCTGTAGTCAGATTGTACAAAACTGGTTAGTCAACATTTGTAGATTGATCTCTCGAGGGTTGGGTCGAGTTTTCTCTTGATGTGACTTGGYGTGTCCTTAGGTGCYTACACCTCGAAGTCAATATCTTTAATGGTATCGTCGAGTGTTTTAAAATCATTGTCGTCAACAAACAAAGACAAGGATTTGTTTTCTATTTTTGTGAAATTTCTGAATCCCGGTGGCTTCCAAAGAACTTGTAGGTGGCTCTTGCCCCGTGCTTGCTTGTGAAGAACCTCGATATAGTACTTTCTGCCAGCTTTTAGCTGGATTTTTCGCGAAATTTGCGTTGGGTATTTTTTGAAGTCTCCGGTTTTGGTAAATCCAATGCCTTTAGACGAAAAGACTGTCGCAATCAGTCGGGAATTCTTCGGATCAATATCGGTACTTAGCCAAAGCTCCGAAGTATCATCGGAAGAAATAGCAAATTGYTAGAAACCGTCGGATAMGGAATGAATGTAGCCGAATATGCGCTCTCCAAATTCGGTTTCTTCATATTCAGCGGCAAAATCGGTAATGAATCGGCGACGGCTCGGAAACCGAGGAAACAACGGAGATTGACGAAGCTGCTCCACGTGGGGGCCACAGATGTGGTCCCAAATATGAACATTCAGCTTACCTGACATAAAGTCAGGAATGACTTGCTCAAAAAACGCTGTTAGTAACTCATGGCCAGCTAGTCCATCGCCACTTCGTTTGTATTCAATTTTGACTTCTTCACTAACTAAATGTGGCTTCGGCGTGATGATCACAACATTCTCGTACAAACGTGGAGCGCCGGGAGGTTTTCGTTTATACCGCTCAAACAGGACAGCAGAAGACGCTGGCTTCATGGGACCGTTTTCTTCAAAACTCTCTTTCCATAGCTTTGAATTTTGTGCACGCTGTTCCGGTTTTGTCAAATTAAAAACCGTTCTTAAAAAAGTCGTCTTTCTATGGAAGGTAAATCCTGCGTTTCGCTTATCGTACCATGAACGCTGCGCAAACATCAAAGCAGGATTCATACTTTGGTGRCTTAAATACAGCCATAACACAATRAATGCACCAAGCAATACTAAAACTACACATCTCCAGGAGGTGCAATGTCTACTTGCTTCTCTTTTGTACTTGACGTACATTTTTCAGAGGTCGTCTTGYTTATTGTGTAGTCTTGTCRACTGACCCACTTAGAGCTACATCAGGGATTTCATCACAARACAAAATATGTCACCCAAGGCATCTAKTGGCAGAGTTTCTTCTTTAGTCGGTTAATATTGTCTTCCAACTTGAAAGTTTTCGATATTTCACTAGTATATGATATTTGAAAGAGCGTCCTTCATTGATAACACTGACGCTACTCTTCTTATGACAACTATTTGTCTTAAATCGCCAAAGGAATATCCACCACGCAAAATAATTCAGATACGACCCASTGGAGCGATTACAACTTTACATGATGCGTGGGAAATCCTTCTTCACAGAGCCACGATTTTTGTATGGCTGGCTGAGTAAGAAGTGCTACCTGTGAGTTTCTGGGTCTTAATTGCATTTTTTTCTGTGCAATCATCCACTCGAGTTAGCACAGTTTAGTGTGGGCGTGACCGATGTCATATTTTCCTGGTCGTTTTCGATGGAACAAACATTTACTAAGATAAATAAACAGAGTGCAACTAAGGCTTTGTTTTTGAGATTATATTGAGTCTGTTTTCCCATTTAATTARACCCACTCAATAGCTCTTTCTTATCCAAGGCAGCGAGAAGAAGAAAATATTGCAGTTAACTKCATAATGACTGAAAAGCAACGAAGCACTAACATAATAACAGAAGTAATGTACAAAAATTTACAGAATGCATATTTAGGATTAACTTGCACTCTAAACTTAGAAGTTATATGGTGATCAACTACGTGAACCAAATTGATACAATTTTGTAAATTGTTCGAATCRTTTGATATACTTTTATTTGAACGCTACGATCATGATCCTTTCAGTGTTTGAGATAATCTGCGAACCTGAAATTAAACTGAACATTATATATTTTTTGGTTTACTTTTCCCCTTCTCAGTTTTTCGACTYTTTCATGGTCTATATACATTTACTTTCAAGAACTTAAGACAGAAAAATTGGTTATATGGTCAAAGGCTTGTAAAAAACGACTTTGCATGGAATCTCCAGTACTATTTTCAAGGTTGTCAATCTAATATTCTAATGCAATGGTCATTTCATGTTAGTGACTACCCTCTGTCYCTTTTCACCAGACGGGTCACTGGTCTTTACTGATCCGTATGACTTGCTTGATGATACAAGCATTGACCGTTGATGAGGTCAATGCTTTGACTGAAGACAGAAAAAAACAGCTAAAAACATTGAAGATATTATGATATTATTATATCTGTTGTTTAAGATATAGAATCCAACGTGAGCAATTTTGCATGCATGCTCTCTTACACCGCTTTTACTTTTCTTTTCATAAATTTCAATTGGCAGTTGTTATGAGATGAAATGAAGCTTGCACTAGGCGGGTTTGGTTCCACGGTTTTTAAATAAAAATTCTTAAGAAACAGTGTTATTGAAATGGATGCTATTAGATGAAACTCTATGTTGGATGTCAAGGTAAAAAGGGTGGTAGCCGGCAAGCAGTTGGCGCAGGTTTAAAATGTTTCAGTAACCGTGCAGGATATGGTTTCTTTTGCTCATAGTTTAACGTGAACAAAACCGGACTAAAAGCCGAGGAAATAATACACGTTTCTAATTCGRACGAGCAACAAGATCATTAAATATATCTTGAATTCAAATGAGGAAGGGAATGAACAGACGCGAAGCAGAGTAAAACTTTGTAATSGGGAGACTGCGCTTAGTTCAGTGACATGTATTGACCTGTATTCAAAAATCAAGGTTTAACGATGAACCTCACTGAACCGTGTTGAGACTTGACACTTTCACTGAATCAAACTAGCCCAATTTGATGCTAAAGTTTCCTCAGAATACAACGTTCAAATCCTCTCAACTTGCCACGCAGCTTTGCGTCGATGTTTCTTGTTTTTTACCTTGCCGGCTGAGCACTAACAACTTGTCGCGCAACAACAACAACAACAACAACAACAACAAAAACAGGACATGAAAAACGAAAAACACTGACGCTCAACAACTGCAATATTTCGCTCCAAGTTGAGATCTTTGCATTTCTCGGCCTTTAGAGTTAGCGTGGTCTTGAGACTCAATTTTCTTCAACAATGTTATGGGGTCTCTCGTCACTATGAAACGTGACCGAACCGCAACCATCCACTTTTAGCAGGCGTTCCTCGCGAGTCCTTGATATGTTTCAGTCGAAAAAAGAAAATCTATAGAGGAAAAAACAACAGCAAAGAAAAAGGAAGAAAAGAAAAGGAAAAAAATAGAAAGAAGAAAAGATAACAGGAAATAAAAGAAAAAGAAACATTCAACAAGAAAAAAAAAGAATTTCCAGAATCAGGATTCGAACTCAGGAATTTCACTTTAGGAAAAGATTTACCCCCCCGGAATACATAAAAAATAATGAAAATAAAAAAACTAAAACGATGGGACGATTCCCCCGAGACATTCTATGAAGCTGAGGCGTCGAATCGGCTTACGTTTCGGTTAGAGATTTCGGCTCTTCCACGCTATCCCGAGTGAACATAAAACTTAGTCTTAACCAAAAGGCCAGGGAGTGAGGGGGTAGCCGCCCACTAGAGCATACCTTTAGCTACCCTCTTAGACCATCGTACTATGAAGACACTTATAGATATCTAATATCTAATTGGGGTAGTCTATTCGGTGAAGTTCTATGCTGATATATGACGTCACCAAAATCCTCTGGGAGCAGCGAGCCAATCAGAGCTCAGCTCAAGAATTAGCAAAGATACAGGTTTGAATAATCATCCCTCAGTGGATTTATTATTTGATGGGGGTGGGGATGGGGATCGGTGCATGCTGAGTGCTTGTTTACGCCCGAATACCGATGTACTCGCTGTAATGTGGTGGCTTTCACCGTACTGTTCAATTGTCGTTATTGTTTTCCAATTCATCACAGGAAAATGTTACAGTTCTCATATCAGAGAGACATTACTAGTATTCAAGTAAACAGCACAACGAATCTATTGAAATTCTTAACATACAGACCAGGATCGAACCAGGCAGATACTAGCTGTTGCTAAAGATTTGCCGGGATTCGAAATGCCAATGGCACACAATTGAAGACCTTTGAAACTCCAACATTACACTCGAACGTTCCAGATTTTCGTTCTTGATGATAAAAGTCTAACAAATGGATTACTATTGATTATCAAATAATCATTAAATCTAAATATAGTGACTGTACTGGTTGACAATTGAAGAGGATGAATGACAATCGGTATAAAATTGCGTAAAGAAATGAAGAAAAACTTTATAAATTATGGTGTGCAAATTATATAAACATTTTATGGAACAAAACGTTCGAGAATTTAAAGCAAAGCTAAATCAAAGCTAAGGACTCCATGTCCTGGATAACAATTCCTGTTTCCCCTTAGTAATCTTTCAGACGGATATGTTTATTAGGCAGGGAAACAGTACGCCCCGCGTCAGGTCCCTACGGGAGGTATCATCAACCATAACAATAGGTTCCAAGGTTCCTTGGCCCCTGGGAATCGCCGCCTGGTGTGCATTTATAGACAACACTGATTTTAATTTTTCCAAGTGCGAAATGCATTGTGGGTCTTTCTATCACCGTTCACCATTCAAAAGGAGTTATTAAATAATTATATATTATGAAGCAAACTCGAAGTTGACCAAATCTCTTAATGGTCACATGCAATCATCGACTGTCTATTTTTTGTAGGTATGAACCGGGAAAAACATAAGAAGAATCAGAAACTCAAGAAAATGAAACTTCTCAATTTTCTGCTTCAGCCCATAAAGAATTACGAAAATTAACCGATGAACATTGGATAAGTTTGCACTCAAGCTTATCCAGTAAAACTCTTACTCGTCCCCAGTCGTTCTCATCTATCTAGCGCGCGAAAGGCATTAAGGGAAGGAGGATATAAGAAAAACCTCGTCTTTCGCTCTATCTCCTTCCCATGTGAAGCTTTCAAGAAAATATAAATTTATGCTTGAAAATATAACGTCGTAAGCCAGCAAAAACCTACACTTTATCTCAAAACCGTCGGACGTGGAAAAGGACTGAGTGAACGGTGCCAAGCTATCCCGATAATTGGTCCTAGAAGTCAACTGGCTACTATGTTAACATTGCGTTACAAAATATTTCTCTCCTCGGTACAAGCACTATACTAGGCTTGGTCGYGCACTGCATGGGCGAAAACTTAGTCGATGGTGGACAGCGAAAAAGGAACTGAACCAACACCCTGCCCACCTGATTTAGGCCTCTCGGCCCAGGCTCTCATGTTGTGAGAGAAAACATTTTCCACTTTTTTCGTTCCTCAGCCAGTGGAAAATACTTATTAAAATATTCTACCGACGTCGCCAGATGGACTAATTAAGAAAAGCTTTTCAGTCCTTCAGGTTTAACTTACAGTTATTACAACGAGAGTCTATAATGAACGTAACATCCTAAGTACAAAAACTGACAATTATTCAGATTATTGTAAACGTAAGTTTTATAGCAACTACATAGTCACTGAGATCGTACTGACACGCATATTACAATTCATTGGTCGGATTTAAACTATGAGTTTATTGAATAACCTCCTAAAACAAAGCGCGCTATCAAAAATATATTTCTATTTACACAAACTAAATATGGCGATTTTCGCACACGTAATCACTCACTAATATTCCTTAAATCAAGCAGCTCATTGTCGAGCTATATAATAAAAACATTAAATTATATTGTACTCAGCCAGGAGCAACTATTAATTCATTCAATCAAACCTGTACAGATCTATGCACACATGATAGTGCTTCCTTCCGCACCTACTAGAATATCACTAGAACAACGTTTATCAGTGACTAATAATATGACAAGAATTCTTAAATATACTTGTTCTTTGCAATGTACAATTCTAAATCAATTTCTTATCACGAGAGGCATTTTCGTTTGCCACTTTCTTGTCAACAACTCCACTCTCTATACGAGAATTGCCACTACAATTTTCTCTTTAGTAACTTACTTGTAAACCTCTACAGAAAAAGTTTTCATTGCTTTTAAACAAAGCTTGTTGCAGTTGTTACGCTTAGTTCAAACAGCCACTAATATCATCTATATGGAAATCTTACTGTTTCATCTAGGTCAGTAAGTATACAAAAGTATAATCTCTAAAATGTATCCGACCCATTATAAATACACTAATAAAATGTTACACGATATGCTTCCACCTTGTAAATCAGCTAAAATCTGAGTCAAAAGTTCATGTGTCAGCAAACACTATGTCTATATGTCTTCATTAGGTCTGGAAGAGCTGTCGATCCATTTGCGCCGTGGATAAATGCGTGGTTCAACAGTTCAAACGCTGTGGCTCTATCTCTTGGATCACGAATAAGAGCATGTCGAATGAAAGAATGCAGTCTCTGAGACATCTGAAAAACAAAAATTAAAAAAAAGGTGAAATACAGGATGAAAGAGGAGTTTTCTTTAGTAGTGTTGTGGGAAGAAAAATCCAATATAGATTATAAGAAATTGTCTGTAATCGAGGTTGATAATGTTTTTTAAATCGTTATCCATTCAAACTCAAAACACTAAAAAGAGAAACAAAGGATAAATGTTTTGCCAAAGGGAACAAAGAAAATGAAATCTGCACTTAAATCAAAATRAAAGAGGACAACTTTGATACATTAAGGTTTAAAAACCGCGCAAAAAATTCCCACTCACACAAAAAAACGACTCTAAACGCCCGTTTACACTGGCGATTTTTGCGGCGAGTTTTGTGGTTATCTCGATCCTAGAAGATACAGTAGTGCTAAAGAATTAACTTGTAAAAACTTTTATTTAATTACCCTGAGAATCGCTCACTTAACGCCTCCTCAGAACGATAAGTACAAAATCAATTATATCTTTGAAAATCACCCTAACAATTGCAGCAAAAATCGCCAGTGTAAACGGGCCTTAGATGTTGTTTATGTTTTACATACCTGTCCTTTCCTAGCTCTTGGTGGTTCTCCATCACGTAACTTCCTCATCGCCTGAAGAGGAGGCTCACAGAAATAAGGAGGTTCACCATCTATCATTTCTAAWACCATGATTCCGAGAGACCAAATGTCAGCCTGAAACATAGCAATAACAAATTTTATAAAGTCAACACTTGTCTCACTTAAAGATATATTGAGTTTTTTGGACACTTCTCAATTGTGAATGTTATATAGGGGACACTGTACAAAAATTAAGTGACAACAATAGAGACAAGAGGTTTTTTTTAAATCTTGCAGTTTCCTGTCTGAACATTCAAAAAAGAGAGAGTTGAAGACAGTTTAATTCACCCATTCTTTTCCCATTCATGCATTTACCTATGAATTCATTTGTTCTTCATTCATTCAATTTTATGTGATTGTTATCTGACTATTCATTAATCCGTACTGAACTTTCTTTCTTTTTTRTATCTTCTTCATTTCATTGCTGTTGTTTAACATACATGTACCTCTGTGCCATAAGCTTTTCTTGCAATAACCTCAGGTGCCATCCAATAAGGAGTACCGACAAGAGATTTCCGTCTTGGCATATCTTCTGTTACTTGTGCACAGAACCCAAAATCAGATAATTTAACCTTAGAATAAAAGTCAAAATTATTTGTGCACTGATCATCCAACCTTMACACATTATTATAATTATAATGATGCTTCTGTTGTTATCATATAGTTGTAAGGAGTCTATATGGAGAGACCGGGAAGAGAAATTTTGGGAGGGTGGGGATGGGAAGCTGGAAAGGAGGGAATATAGGGAGACTGTCAAACATATTTATTAAAAAAACAAATAGTTTACTTACATTTCCACCAGATGTGAGAAGAATACTATCACTTTTAATATCTCTATGTATGACGCCTTGTGAGTGAAGGAATGTTAAAGCCCTTAAAACAGATCGACACACACATGCTATTTGTTCCTCTGAAAGCCTGCAAGAAATCATAACTTAGCCATAATCACCAAAACAAATATGGTTTTACCACATTTGTGTGAATTCTTGAGCGCTGATTTGCTGATTATTAGAGGACATGGACACTCACTGTGCTAGCACCATCAAAACATTCGCACACTCTCAGAAAATAATGATTGTCACTAATTTTTTGACTAAAAATCTTGCTTATCAAATTAAGGACTATTATAATCATTATTACATTACCTAGTATGTGTGACAATATCAGTCAACGTCCCTCCTTCTAGATACTCCATTATTACCCAAAGTTCATCACCAACTAAATAGCTGCCAAACATTTCTACAATATTAGGATGTGGATAATCTCTCATGATCACAACCTGAAAAAKATTAGATACAATAATTGTTATTAGAAAAAACATATTCAATTATAACTTCTTTTGACTACAGTAGGAGGGAGTATAAAGAGTGAGCGAGTATAATGTTCTTATTCTTAAACACAATTTTCTATTATTAGTTTCAATTATTGGTGAAGAATATTACACAAAATGTACCTAATAGAAGTATTTGTTTTTACAGTATTTATAAAAWAGATTAATAGCTAGTGACAAGAATCTTAATAATTCTTTTAGCCATGACCACAAAGAAGCTTATATTGTTCCAAAAAGGAAYTTCATTGTTCTTCCGAAGAAAAGACAAAAATGTAATTCAAACAAATTATTGAAGCAAATCAAAAATAAAGGAATTTGAATTTTTGAAACATGATATAACRAACAYTTAATACAAACTCACACAAATATGACAGAAGAAGGAKTGGATGTGTGTTGATCTATTATATATTGCAAAGCTATAGCCTATTAATAGTTGACAATCAAAATAGAATGATCAAAATAATGGCCTCTAAAGGAATAGACAATCTCAATGATAGAAACATGTATTTCCTAAAGGACTTGACTTAGGCTTTGACAAAAGTGTTTGTTTTTTAWAAAGAATCAAAATGGCAAGAAAAATGTTAACATAGTCAAGCAGAATTATATTAAGATTCTGTGTCAACATGACACACATGAATGATTTCCTGTACTGCAGTAGATATACATCAACATATACCAATACAGCTTGCAAGAGTTATAAAACACAAAAACATGCTTGCCTTTTTATGTAAAATAATAAATAAACACTTTTTATCATTGAGGTATAATAAATTTTGATGCAAATTTAAGAAAAATTTACTTTGTAGCAAAAACGTCATAAGTTGAATTTGGCTTGTCTTATATTTTTAATGTAATAGTTGTTGATTATTGATGTCACAATATGGCAAGCAAAGGAGCAAAATAAAATGGTCAATATTATTGAAGAGGTAAAGAAGTTCAAAAATCTACAATTTTTAATTAGATATTGAGATAACATTGTTGGCCCCTAATCGACATATAATTGTARAGTCATGATCCATCATACAATGCATGCTAACTGAAAATATCTTACGCCAAGTGGTTTTCATTTAATGCTACTTGAGGTCTAAAATATACCAAAGTGTCATTTATATGGATTTCCGTGAGAATGTTGCTTCTAAATAGCTTCCTACACTTGAATAGTTTTCTCTTACCTCGTTAAACAACAATTCTCGCCTTTGTTGTTTCTTTAAATCCATTTTTTTAACCGCAACTTGACGACCTGTTCTCCTGTCCCGCGCAAGGCAAACAATACCAGTTGATCCCTCGCCAATTTTCATAAAATTGTCCAAACTTTCAGGTTGTCCCACGGCCGTGACAACCAACTCCAAAGCTTTGCGAAATTGGTCGTGCGAAACGGGCGCATCTGAGTACATCAGCTTTGTCTTACTGGTTGTTCTCACATCGTCTGACGTTTCTCCAGCTGAATCTGTGCTAGCAGATCCATAATCAGAGCTTTCTCTGTGAGAAGAACTAATACGACGATCCCGGATATCATGTCGACGTTCGTCTCGGTGGGGGTAGCTTCGTCCGTCGAAGTACCGTTCTTCGCGACTTGGCGGCCTGTGACTTCTTCTAAAATCAGCTGTTTCGATAGATTCGTCTATTCTTTGATAATTTGGTGGCGGAGGCCTTTTCTGAACGACTGGTCTTGAAGCAGGGCTGGTCCGCAGCGAGTCCCGTAACGAATTCGAACGACTAACTGAGATGACACTGTTTATTTGTGGGCTTTGTCTTCTTCGAGCTTCGGATCTTCGCGGTATTGGAGCAACTTCAGTGATTGCGTCGGGATCAACAAGTGGTTGAGGTCGTTTTATTTCRTTCATTCCTAGTACGGCTTCCCATTGAGGTGGTAATCCTACAAACTTTTTTCCATTGGGATCAAAGCCAGTGTGGAAACGATGCTCAAAGTTGGTCGGCATAGAGATATCGAGACGTTGAGGCTTGTTCGAGACCTTCTTTTTATTGCGCTTGAACATTGTGGAAAATACCTACGCGCGTAGAAGCGTAAGAATTMTAACCAGGTMATGGATCTTGGAAAYATTCACGTTGGATCATCGAACTGACAAAATACCATAGCTTACTCTCAAACGGTCAGTCGCCAAGAAAACAACTACTCCTACGTGATGATGACTTATCGACCCTAATCGTAGCATAATCGGATTTTCCGGAGATATCCGAAAGATCYGAGATAGRGCCGAGATTARYACGAAAYAYTGTCGAATGATMTTCCTCTGTTTTTCTGTCCAGCGGTTTGACAGACTATGCGACCMCTCCTGGGTTTCCAGAAAACCTTGAATGGATTTAGTATTAGTGAAGGACMTAGAAAAAAGATGGATTTAGGATCAGAAATTAGCCAGCAAATAAAGGTGAAACTACTTGAATGTATAGATTGATGTGTGTGCTGATATATAAACTACATCCTGTGTAAAGATCGATTTTATTAGGTGAGTTATTGATGATCGTTTAATCACCATTTTCAGACCTCCATCAAGACAAAACTACAAGATTTGGGATCCTATGTTGGTAAGTAAAACTAGTAACTTCAAACGATGTAATTTTATTATGTAGTGAGTTAACATGGAAATGAAATGGAATGATTAATGMTCAACGTTACCGAAGATTCAAGCTCTAGTACCATACAATGTGATCTTCTATGTTTTAATTGCAGCGGTTAGTTAGTATTAAAGGTTACTGTCCCCATTCTCTGTGTTTAGCTTATATCACACCTCTTAGACAAGGCTTCCAACCTTTCTTTTTAAAAAGGRAGAAACATATCATAAGCCAAAAAATGAATAAAATGGCTACATCCTCTGACATAGATAAGCTAGATAATGTACAAAGAAAGAACTTGAGAAGAGACTAGACATACAGGCTGTTCTAATAGATTTTTTACAAAACTGTTTCTTTAGAAACACCGACGCAGCTCACACTAGTTTACCGCTAGTTCCCACCATTTTGTTCTAATAGATTTCTAAGCTTCTCTTTTGTGCCCTATAAATGTYTACCTCCCCCATGATGTGTAGATCAGAGGACAGCTTGTATACTATGGCTTGTTATTCCTGGCTTTTCACAATTAATTGGTTATTATAATATTTATTWTAGATGATGAGCTACCTGAATACATAATGGTCATGTTAAGTAATAGAAGAGGGAAGAAGCAAATGACAGAAGACTTGATGTTGTTTCTTGGAGAGAATACAGTCAAGTTTATTGACTGGTATGTTACAAACTTGTTTTGAAATGATTTTTCCTAAGTCAAAGGGACAACATGTGAAATGTCYGTAGGTTTCCAGCAGGGATCTCATCAGAAGCTGGCAACTGGCAAAATCTTGGCCYGGTTGTCCAAAGCCTGATTAGAGTTAATCCAGGGTTAACTCCATAGCTTTTTTAAGATTTCAACCAGGATTAGCGCTAACCAAGCTTTGAACAACTGGGCACTGGTGCCTATTTTGATCTTTGGTCCAGCTACTCTTGCCAAATTACAGTTGTAATACTTTTAGCCCCTTGTGATTCACACACGGTTAATTTTTCAGGTCAGTCACTTTTATGATGCACAATTTATCTTATTGTTATATTCTTTGTCTTTGCAGGCTGGTGAACCTTGTTGAAAAGCTAAAAGATGTTGCAAGTTTAGTTGGTAAGKTGAGAAAAATAGATACAGTTGTACTATTTTGTTATGGATTAAACCATTTTGTATGGCTCCTGATATACATGTAAAGTCCATATATATTTGATCATACATTTTCTCACTCAGCAATTTCCAAAACTATACTCTACTTACAGTTCATGTTATTATATTCTTACAGAGGTTGATGAAGAACCAGAAAAGGCACCAGTATCTCAAGAGGTACCACCAATTATTGCACCAGAAAAGGAACCYACACCAAGTAAGACTGATAAAGAACAAATCAGCAGAAAAGCAGCATCAAGAGAGAAGAGAAAAAGTCCCTCAAAGTCTACATCTAAAGAAYGTTCAAGTAGCCACTCTAAGTCCAACAAGTCTGGCAGTAGTAAAAGTGAAAGTAAGTTGGTTAACTGGAACAGAAAATTAAAATATACAGTAGTTGAAAGCTGTGATATTAATGATAATATTCAATAATAAGACACAAAAATGAGACATTTATGACAATTCTTGGTTTGCACTAATCACGTGACATTCTAAAAGTGCTATTTAGAGGCCAAATTAGCGAAATGTTATTATTGTCCCCGATAAATCATCTAATTTAAAGTATCATTACGAAATTTTGAGCGAAAATAATGCTTTTTAACAGAAATACGAGCGATCGAAAATTGGTAAGAATGTATGGGATTATCACGGCTCAACGCGTTGTAGACAGGTCAAGAAATACCTACAAAAGACTTTGTTTTAAGARCGAAATGAATTTTRTATGTTCAAGACCAAAAACAACWTATAATTKCCAACAGTTATGCAAAGTTTAAAGTCAAACTGCCATTTTGTAGCAAAAATATAAGKGTTTGAATACGGTCTTACTTTACAAGGGAATGTATGGGAAAGCCCTGATGGTGTACTAATCCAGTACACCAACCATGCGGACAGTAACTCCGAGTGTCAAAATGAGCTCAAAACTAATGATTCTGCTTCAGTTTTCCAACAATATCATTCTAAAAATTCAATTTAATGCTGAGGCTATACATGTTTTAAGATTAAGAGGCTTTCCGAGGTTAATTTGTCGCGTTTCAAGTCGCGCGACAGTATTGCGTGACATATTTTTGAACGTTAATAACTCAACGAATAAACACCAAAAAAAGTTGTTGAAACTTTCAGAGAGAACTTCTATCATGCTCTTCAAGGTATTTTATTACTGGAATGTTGTGTGTCTGTGATTTTAGAATTCGTTTCGACTGATGACGTCATGTGCAAACCGAGAATACTTTTTTGTAATGTATTATACATTAAACACTGGGCTTCAAGGGCTTTGGGCTATCAAATGGCACTGCTTTCAAGTCTMTCCAAACTCCTCTCTCAAAGCTAAACAATCTCAGAACAGTATGATTAACAATGTTCTGATTTTAGGTAGGTAGAGTTCAGTTGAATTATGCATATTGCAATAGACAAATAAACAAAATACATGTAGTCAAAGAAAGCAATGAAATATTTCACAGAATTCAATCTTAGAAGTGATCAAGCAATACATAAAGTTTGCTATTTACAATTTGTATTTCTTTTTTTTTCCAAAGAATCAAAGGGGAGTTCAAGTAATAGACGTTCTAGTTCTGAATCAAAACATTCTAGCAGGAAAAGAAGACTGTCTGAATCAGATGATGAAGTATCAACAGTTATTACACCAATTTCAAGTGTTGTCAAAGTCCAAGAAAAAAGGTTTGTTTCACCAAAAATTTAGTGACTGTTTTAAAGGCCAATGTCCATCTGAGAACCTTATTTTCTAACATATGAAAATATCATTTTTGATTTTAACTAATCAAAAATCAACTGTCAACAAAGGAATCATTTGCAAAACAAAACAAGCAAAGGTTGTAGGGTGCACATGGGCCTTTATGTCCTCTTTGCTAGTCTTTGACTGCTGGAATTTTATAATTAGGGTTTTGTTTTAATTAACTGAATACAGTTCTCAGTAGTTTGTTCAGTTAGTCTGGAAATTTAAGGAACTCTTCATTCACAAAGAAGTGATTGGACTATACAGTTCACAAATAGCTCACAATAGTTGTCAGGACTATTTGTAGAAGTTACTAGTCATACAGGGTCTCATTGTTTGTCATTATTTGGCCACTTTTGATCTGGGCATTTTTATATGGGTGATTTACCATTTTATAATGTATTCTTTATGTTAAAAAGACCACAGTGAAACTTGAAATTGTAATTTGATACAATGTTTTTATTTACCAGACCCTCTTTACCGCCATCTAAACAAGCAACAAGCTCACTACTAAGAAAAGCAGTGGCCGCAGCACACATGTCAGTAACTAAAGTAATGCATAGCTTAACATATGACCCAACATCACCTCCATCACCTATCAAAGTACAAAGTCTTGAAGAAAAACAACAACAAAAAGAGCTTCTTCTGCAACAACATCGAGAACTACAAAAACAACTGCAAACAAATGAAATTCCTGTAGAAGAAGAARCAGTCAACAGTGATCAACCAGAAAATGGCTATTATCAAAACACAGAGAAAGATYRTTTAGAAACTGAGGAAAAACAACAAGAAACAACATCTAAGACTGAGCCYGAWTTGATAAACGAACCAGTGATTGAACTTCAAGTATCTGAGGCTGAGGCTTTAGAACTGAATGCTGAATTAGTTACTAAGGGAGATACGCGTATTGTAGCATTTGCAGATAGTCAAACAGCATCAACTGAACCTGAGGAAGATAAACATAAGCGCAAACGAAAGCGTGCTGTCAAATCCAGGTATAATAGAACCATGAGTTTAATATCTGTACGTAAACAGAATAATCCTATTCTATTGTTTCAATTGTGTAAAAAGATAAATTAAACACCATAAAAAAGTAGGAGAAGTAACTTACTGACGTTTCGGACGTTAATCCTTCGTCCGACTGTTTCTTTAGAAACACAGACGCGGCTCACACTAGTTTATCGCTAGTTCCCACCATTTATTCTATTGTTTTAACTCTAAGGATTATGATCATCAGAAGGGGAACTGAATGACTGCATATCTAAGAAAATGTACATGGGCATTATGAATCATAATTGTTTCAGATATATATATTATTTTCTGACATGGAGATCTGTATAGTGAATAACGGTTGGAATGTAGACCAAGATCACAGGCTGTAGTCCATTTGAAGAGGACATTGTCAACAGACTAAATTTATACCTCTCTAAATTTCAGAGATCGACCTAAAAGTCCCAAGTTTATTGTTACCTTGGATGGCGTTGACAGTGAGCTTGAAGACAAGTTCGAAAAACATAAGAAAACACCAAAAAAYCCCAAATCCGAATTTGACGACTTTGTTGAAATAGATACAWCTAKCATGCCTGTTGCACAACCAACTGAATCTTTACCAGAAAATACACCACCTCCATCTGTTGAACAGGTTATGTTTAGYCTGGATAATACAAGCGATGGTAAGATTYTGGYTTTCAGMWTTMTT